GATATCCACAAAAGATATTCTGTGGATATCTTTGGGATTCGGTGTGTTGTCTGGGTTTTGACTGCACAAACAGAATGATGTCTTTTTTTTTACTCATTTCTCTCACAGCTAAAGAGTACCAAAATAATAACAGCACCTTTAACTTAACACAACAGAGAGCTCAAACAAAATCAACGAAATTATAGGCTCAATGAAATTATACAATCAACGCTTCTGAACGCCAAAGCCGTCTTTTCCGTCCGAAGGCGGAGCTTAAGCAATGCGCGATGGAATCGACGCAAACCGTTGCCGCCAAGAGAGTGTTTTAGCTGTATTGTATAAGCTGTGATACAGGTGTCAAAGTTTAAAAGGAATAGGTTTTTTATTAATATCTCAAAGATCCATTTTTCTATTTTGTTGAAATTTGGCAGTGTTCTTCATTGTGATAAGAACGCTAAGTTTACACTGACTAGAAGATAATTATGAGTTTCAGTGGCGTAGCGGTGAGGAGCAGTCTTATTTACAAAAAAAATGTACGCCACTGACTTTGCAACTTTTATATATTTCTTTTTCGATTAAGCAGCTAAAAATACAACTTTTTTTTTATCTTACTTCGTTTTTGAGGAAAGAATAAAAACCACTTTTATTAAAATTAACAATAAGATCAAGTTAACTTCGATCGTTAAACTTTTCTACTTGGTTCAAGCATGCGCCCTTGGAATTACGGCCTATCATTAAGTAAACACCCTGTATATATAGGTTATAAATAATTATGTCTTCTGTTGTTTTATTGTTAAGCGTTTATTTTATTTTAATAAAGAATATTTTGTTTTTTGTTCTCATTTTTAAGTTTTGGTTGAATTCCTAACAAAATTAAGCGTGGCTCTAAAAAATGTGTGGCACTTTTGCTGAAACGACATTGGGGTCTAATCTGTAACAATTTCTTTATATTTTAACGGCTGTTAAATTATTGGCGGCCTTTAAAAATATTTTCGTATTCACTAACTTACTTGTCATTATTTAAACGGATTCTTTTAAAATAGTCCTCAAATAACAATAATTTTTAAAGGGACGTTAAAATTTGCCTTTAAGTTTTAACGGGTTTTGAATTGAAAATTGAGGATTTGTATGGTTATGTTTTCAAATAAATCTTAAATGCGATGTTGTAAAGTGTTCTCCTCCCATTTTTAAGGGAATCCGTTAAAATAAATAATTTTTACCAGGCGTCTAAAATTTGTGTATACAGAATACCATTTTTGGTTAAAAAAATTAACGGGCCGCTAAAAGTTTAATTTTTAAAGACCTCTAAATTTTAACGGATGTGTTACAGAATAGACCCCAGTGTCCCGCTTTTTCATTACAAAGATCTGGAAACCCTGTCCAAAATTTTAAACAAGAGTCAGACACTTCTTCCTTGCTCAGGCCTCGAGACCCACGTAACAAAGAAGCTTTTAAAAAGTTACAAAAATGAGCCGGGCCCGAGCTAGTGCTGCTACACATAGAAAAACTAACTGCTCCATAATAATATATCCACTAAGGCCCAATTCCACCGTTGTGTTAAACGAAGATTAAAATAACATTTTTACATTACCAAAGTCATTTTAATCTTCGTTTAGTAATTTAAACTTCGTTTAACACAACGGTAGAATCGACCCAAAGCTAGCAGATCCGCTCATTTCTTGGGCTCAGTGCAACCTATAAAAGGCAGACTGGCGTAACAAAAAAGCTATAAAAAATTTAAGAAAAACCAGCTGGGTCTGAATCTGTGCCGCTACTATGGAAATTCAAGCTAGCGATTCCTCTGTTTTTTCGGACCCGGGTCAAGCTACAAATTCGCAAATAGCGTAACAAAAAAGATACAAAAAAGTTACAAAAAGTAACAAAAAACCCAAGTGCTTGCTAGCTTTATATAGCTTATATTTTTGCTGTTCATAAAATTTATACAATTTGTAAAATTAATTTATCATAAAGGAGTAAAAAAAAGGTCCAATAATTTGTTTTAATACATTATTGCTTTGATTTTTCAAATTAAATCTCTATAATTTATCTCCAAACTATTTACATGTGTATATCCCACTCCACGTCAGGCAGTTTTAAAGTACAATTTATTCACAAATTGATGTCTAATTTGAACAAAAATACAAACTACTCGTCTCTGCAAGAAAAAAACTATTCGTTAAAATAAGAGAAATCCTTAGATTTACATTTGCTACCTCGTTTTGCTTTTTTACTCGATATTGTTCTTTTTTCTTCGTTTGCTACATTGATATGGTTTGCTGGATGTCACGTGTAGTCCATTTAAAATAACGGTAAAAGGTCGAGAAACGCCGCACTTGACGAGACCCCTACGTATTTTGGGGCGCTGATTACGAAAATGAGGGTTAAAACTGGCAGCAATGTTTGGAACACCCATAAAATTGCAATAGGGGTGTTTTTTCGACTATACTTGTTTTGCAAACTAAGCCATCTTATATGTTTTTTGGGGCGCTGATTACGAAAATCGGGGTTAAAACTTGCAGCAATGGTTGAACAACACCTAAAATTGCAAAAAAAACACCCCTAACTACTGTACTTACTGTTTTGCAAACTAACTCATCTCATATGTTTTTTGGGGCGCTGATTACGAAAATCAGGGTTAAAACTTGCAGCAATGGTTGAACCACCCCTAAAATCCACCGGTTGGGAGGGGTGTTTCTGGCATGTGGGGGGTGTCACACAAATTTTCCAGGCTCGACACCCCGATTTTCGAAATTAGCGACCCAAAAAACATATGAGATGAGTTAGTTTGCAAAACAACAAGTACAGTCGAAAAACACCCCTATAATGGGGCGTTTTTTGCAATTTTAGGGTTGGTTCAACCATTGCTGCAAGTTTTAACCCCGTTTTTCGTAATCAGAGCCCCAAAAAACATATGAGATGAGTTAGTTTGCAAAACAACAAGTATAGTCGAAAAACACCCCTATTTATGGGTGTTTTTTCAATTTTAGGGGTGTTCCAACCATTTCTGCCAGTTTTAACACTCATTTTCGTAATCAGCGCCCCAAAATACGTAAGGGACAAGTGGTCTCGTCAAGTACGGCGTTTCTCGACCTTTTACCGCACCGTTATTTTAAATATACTAGTGACCAAAAAATCCAATCTGCTATCCCGGGACCCAAGTAAGAGTAACTCTATTTTCCTCGCCTAGCTCATTCAATTTTTCTAGACATCTCCATGCCATTTTTGAGCTGATTATCTAAGAGCTCATCGCTTTGATGGCTGCTTGGGTATCGGACATGATGATCTCTTGTCTACGAAAGTTTCTCTCGATGTTAAACTGGATACACTTCTCAATGGTGTGAATTTCCGTCTGGAAGATGCTTGGGTATTTTCCCAAACTTTCAGAATGCCTGGTTCTAGGCCCATACACTCCTATTCCAGTTCCTTCTATGGCTTTGGAACCACTGAATAGCATGTCTTTCGGTTGCAAGAACGATGGATTATTAGCTTCATTCTTTGTTCTTCCGGTTCTTCTCCCTCATCTTTTCTTTAAAGACCATGTACGGAGATTTTTCTCGAATCGATAATGGATAGCATATATCCATTATCTTTAATCCTTTGGCAGGATAGGTCATCTATCCCTACCCCGAGGATTTGGTATTTACCCTCTTTTTTCCTACTGATGATCTTCCACAGCGTGGTCGATAGCCCCACATTCTGTGGAGAAAGTGTTTCAGTATGTCGTCTCACGCACATACTTCCAGCTCAACTCCCTTCCAGTTGCTCAAGTGTGGGATTTTAACCCTGAGACACTCTGCTGACTGTGGAGTTTCACAGTCGATAATGACCATACCTAGTCGGAAGTGGATGCCTCCGAATTGAAGCTTGTGCTCTCACCCTGAAAACATTTCTTCTGCTATGGATTCCTCTAGTAAGGTTTGGTCGTCCGCACTGAGGATGGTCTCTAAGACAGGATCGCGAATCGCTCCGTCTTGACGACAGTTGCACAACTGCCGGATGCGGAGGTGATGGCCATTTTTCTGTTCTTATTGGTTCTTTGCAGTGGAGAGATCTTGCTCCCTTCTCGCTTTCTTTTAAGATCCTTGGAAATATATGCAGTACAGGTTGAATGCAGTTATTAAAAATGAAATATTCACGGAATTACGATAACTGCACTAACTGTTTTGGATTTGTTTTGATAGGAAACTGTTTATATTTACCACTTGTTTAAAATTAACGATAATCTTGCAATAGAACCATTTTTTAGCACATTTTTAACGGAACAACTCCATTTAATAATGACCTATGTAATGATAACCAACAACTACTTAGTGTCTGGTTGCTAAAGGGTTTTTATATATTTGCGTAGCCTACTCGAACTAACTAGTTGAGTAATTCTCAGGTCTTCATTGCAAAATAAATAGTTAGGAAATATACTCAGTATAACATAAATGAAAATGTTACATATTACGACATATAGACCCTGTCCAGGCAAAGAATCGTATACATCATTTGGGATATGTACCCCGCATGTACAAATAATATTTGAGCTGTTCACACTTTTGTTTCTAATATCAAATTTAGATACGAGTTTCATTCTGGAATTCGTTAAAGGTCGAGCAAAAATCATAGTTACTTCACCATCCTGTATGTTCTTCTCCTAAGATCAACATTTATTTCAACTTAAAACAAATTATTTTCACATGTCACTTAAATAAACTAAAATTTAAAAATGGTAATAAATATACAAAATTCTTATAATTTTAAAATTTTCAAATAATTGAAATGATAATGTTACCTAAATGTATTCAGTTATTATAAATATAATTTGTATCTTGTTATGGTTCTGAGTTAAAGAAAGGAAACTTTTATTTATATTTTCAAATTGATGGATCCTAAATAGTAAAAAATATGAATTAATTAACTACGTATGGAAACACAGAAATGAAACAAAAATTAACACGCTCTTCTATTGAGGTAAAAGTATTTAGGGAGAAAAAAAAACAACTAAAAATGAATGAAATAATATCACTTGACTTCTTATGGTATGTACGTATAATTTTTTTTTTAAAAACCTAAATAATAAATAATCACAAGACTTATGTATTTACCTATTAAAAATTAAATCTAAAATTAAACTAAGAAAATATCGTAAGGTACTTGTGAGAATATTTTGTCAGCAAAATTCCTCATAAGTATCAGAAGTTTTTTCTTTAAATGTGGTTTCATCTCTTTTAAAAGTTCCTGAGAATTTGAGTTGATGAATAAGTTTAGAGCAGCCTCTGCAAAAAAAATAATATTTTTAATTAATAAAATACTGAAACATATTAAAAGGCGAAGTGAGAAAAAAGTGATCTTAGACGTTAATATGTAATTGAAATTTAGTAAAAACAGGCTTTTGGCTTTACGAAGCCACCGTTATAGCCTTAACTAGATGAGTTCGGGCTGCGCACTCCAGAATGGAGTGGAGTAAGTAGGCGTAAACGGAGTGCGCATATAATTTTACTCTCGGACTGCAATGTCAGATGTCAATGTGACATACCAGTACTTAAAATCTAATCGTTCTTATAATAACCGTAAAATTTTCTTCCATATTAATGACATTCATGAAAACTAAATAAAAAGCTTTTTTATTGAAGAATCAGTCACAATTACCTTATTATCGATTTAAATCACCTTATGCGCATGCCCGATCCACACTCAACTCCCATGATATCCGAACTGTCAAAACGGAACTATTATTTTAACTCCTTCCATTCCCGAACGCCTTAGGAGGGAATAGAGTGAAAAGAGTGCGTAGCCCGAACTCACTTACTGAAGGCAGGCAGAGCAACGCAACTGCCACCGGCGGGATACGCCCTCACTCCAAACCCAACCTAAGCATCCCAATCAAGTCTTTGGGTAGCGACACTAGTTCTACCTCCACAAGATGCCATGAACACGACGCGACCAAGGACAAAAAAAGGCCGCGATCGGTTACAACTGTGAAGAGCCACACTAGACCACCCCTCCCTCTTTCAGAGAAGAGGATGGTCAAACACTAACCACAAACGCTTCCCAAATTTCAATGGGGGATAGGGAAACAATTAAAGAGGTAAAAATTAAACAATGTAACTTGCAGCACAAAAGCAGGGTGACTATGGCAACATTATTCCGCCGTCGGAAGATACAATAGAACTCATCCAGAAACCCTAGATAATTAAAACCAAAATTGTAGATCTAACAAATCTAAATGATTAAATTTTTAGCTTTTCCAGCAACCAACAACCTAGGATAGCCATTTAAATTCCTAGGAAATATAAAGCCCACTCAATGGCAAAACTTTGCACCTCCGTTTTAACTGCGGTTAAGATGGAATGTGCCATCAAGAGGGCAAAGGAAACGTTGATCCTGGCATCTGTATACCTCCCCTCTAACGCAACCACGCCACCACCCAGAAAAGAGTTAGAGGATCTGATTGAATACTGCCTGAACCAGAAGTTTGAGCTGGTAATAGGTTGCGACTCAAATGGTCATCACTTTAATTGGGACAGTAAGGATAACAACAGTAGAGGCAGGTCACTGTATGGTTATATAATTACCAAAAATCTTTATATTTTAAATAAAGGTGCCAACATTTTTAAACTCTCGCAGTGAAACACTAATTGGTAACTTTTTATCTACAACTGGTATCTATAAATAAATTCTAAACTGGCAAGTGTCTGGTGATATTTCGATGTGAGACCACCGCTTGTTATCTCAAAACCCTAGGAAGACGGACAGGGCAACCTAGGCTCACCTTATCCAAGAAGATGGAAAATTGTTTTGCGAGGACATATGTAGTGCTTAATTAATAAAAAATAAAAACGGTTGACCGCTAGGACTTTTTATTTATGTACGCTTGTGAAATTCAAGGAATGATGGAAAGAAACATGAGACTGCAGACTTGCCAGGGAGCTTTTAAGTTATCCTGATAACACTTTAGCGAACAAATACTTGACTATGATTAGACAAAATCCGTGCATGATCACAGGCATTCTGACTGGACATTGCCAAGTACAAAATCATCTCCATATCATGAGGCTGTCAGAATACGCACTCTGCAAGGGGTGCAAACAAGATAAGACCATCGATCATCCTCTACGATTGCTCGACGCTCTTGTTAGAAGATTTGTGTTAAATCTGTAGGCTGGCTCATGAGCTAGGAGGTGTCTATCTACGTAGGAGGATGTACAATGGGCCTAGAGATGGCTAAGTGCCACTAAGAAAGACCGAATAATAAAAATATTTAAAAAAATTCTCAAAAGTAAAGTCCAGATTTCAATTTCAAATTATAATATCTTTTAAGAGACAGGTGTCTTCTGATCTCCTCTGGCTTTAAGAGGGTTTTGTATCTGAGCCCTTCCTCTACTCCTAATTGAATTAATTTAATACATTTTTTACTCATTTCCCAATTTAACTTTGTTTTGAGGTCTTTTCACTATGTATGGCGCATTGCTTTTAACTCCTAAACATAGCCCCCATACTTATTTTCTTCGCAATAATTGTGACAGTTTTGGTTCTATTTTTAAAATTGAGGAATCACTTAGATCCATATATACCTACTAGCTTTGTTGCACTAACGCATGTCGGCATCTTAGCCACTACCAAAGTGACCAAACATACCTGTCTCATTATTTGTTTAAACTTGTATTGTATTCATGAAAATGTCACCTCTGAGATTATTTAATTTTCACGTTTCAGGGTCCCTAGATTATGAAAAACATGTTTCCCCATTCCGTCGGTTTGTCTGTCGTCGTATGTCTGTCTGTTGGCGCGATAGTGCAAAAACGGCTTTAGAGAAAAACAAATAAGGTTCCTTTCTGGCTCAAAACTTGAGTTAGATACAGGATGAGCAGTTTTAAAAAAATAATTTATTTTTAAAAGTCGGCAGATTTCGACTGAAATTGGTATCTGAGTATTTTAGAAAACAAATATAACAGATCCCAAATAAGTTTTAAAAAATTCAAAATGGCGTTGAAAGGAATCGTATTTAATCAAAAAAGGTCTCCCTTGAATGTAATTAATAAAAAGCGTCCTTTTGGTTTGTGTATCTGAACCACTTTAAAAGCAGTCAATCATTACCATTCAATAACGGTGAAAAAGGTTTTTCTCGATTTTCGTCGTGATCCGACCTCACTTCGCGTCCGCCCGGTGCTTTTCGGCACGTTCGTAAAATGTCAGTGCATAGGAGTTCCCTGTTTTTACAATTTCTATATCGAAGGAAGTTCTGGGTAAAATACTATACCGATTTTTTAATCATTAACTGTACATACTAAGAAAATGATTATTAAATACAGATTCTTATTTGAAAAAGTACACATCATTAATATAAAGTTATTTAATTTTTAAAACTGATTTTAAATCAGGCATACACCACTGAAGGTCTTCTAGATAACCGACAGTAAGTAAGTACCATCGTCAGGTTGTTGCCAAATATACATGTTATGTGTTCTTTAAGTAGAGTTCTGTTACTAACATCAAACTAATGGATATGAGTTTAGTATATGAAGTTACTGGAGAAAATGCTCTACAAACACAGTTTTTTTAAGGCAAATCATTTTAAAATCGTATGATTCCTGACTGTTGTACAGTTGTAGCAATTGCAGTTCAAATAATATACTGCGCTCCCTTCTTCAGATGATCTTCTGGAGCCGATGACGTACCATGTTTTGTACCAAAACAAGTATTAGATATTCTCTCTGAATTTTTAACATTTTAACTTATTTGAGATGCTTTAAAACAAGGGAAAGTTGCACAAGAAAAATGATCGTAGACAAATAGAAAACTACAGACCTGTTGCTATTCCATGTGGTCTGTGTAAAATCTTTGAATTTGCCTTTCTTGATTTTTCTTCTGTCTTTCTTGAAAAGGTACAACATTATAACACGAAATCAGCATGAATTATGTGCTAAAAAATCAACAACTGCTATGCTTTCATTTTACAATAAAATTATTTACCATTTGGAGGAATCTGAATGCCCATGAAGGCTTAGAATATTGTTCAGGTAATATTGGGAAATATTGCTATGTTTACTTACTCACATCCAACTATTTGTAAATTGTAATTATTGGCATTTTCTGTTTCTACTTTGAGTTTTATTTTAAGACTTGAATCAAAACGAAGACGACCCTCTTAATGAAACTGAAAGGCCATTGCTAAATGAAAATATCCTTATAATGTTCAGCAATGGACCCAATATAGAGGAGTATTGATGGAGTTATTCAAAAAGAGGTAGTTGCCTCATGACTCGACGTCTTGGGTTCAGAACTAGATATATTTACAAATTATAGCTTGTTTCCATATATCTTTAAATTGCCTTTTGATGGCGCAACCCAGAGACTAAGGCAGCAAATACCAATACAGCTCTTAAATGAGGTTAAAGTCTTTACAGACCAAGTTAGGATCTAGTCTGTCCTTACTTGGTAACACAATCGTCTTAATTCTTAATTGAGAACTACTAAGTAATGTTGCCCGTCTCCGATGCAATACTCATTGGTAGCACTCTGAAACTAAAAGACATCTTCTCATATTAGAATTTAAAAGTGACCTCATAAAGGTAATAGAGGAGGCTTAGCTGAGACCGCAGCAAATCTGCTAAAGCTGTGAAGCATTTAGGTGAATATTAATGGTACCACGCAAGAATGTAAAATTCAAAAGTTCCTCCGGAAAACAGAAGTACTCATGCCCAGGGGTACACCAAGAGAAACCTTTAAAAAAGCACCAGATACATCAACATCAGCCCAAACAGAGCTCGCCTTCTTATGTGAAAGCAAGTGTACTAGCAGGAAATATAAGTAAATACTACAGATTCTGGAGAGATATCTCAGACGATCCGTTTGTAAGGTCTTGTACATTAAAGGTTACTCCTTAAATTTTATCTCTCTTGTAGAATTGATAAAGTCATCAGGTAGAAACAACAGTCTTCAACTCTCCCTTTTAGACCTTAAGTCGTTTGGTAAATTGAACTGAACTTAGACATAAAGTCCACAGCAGGCTAGACAAGTGAATCTTCAGTTTTGTCGTCTTATAACCGGCCTATAAGGCAGGATCCCACCTCTTTTGCAGAAACCATTCTAATTTAGTTTATTGTGGATTAAACTTTCGTTTGTTTTTGTTACACTTACCGTCTTTAAACATCTACGTTTACTTATCATCTGAAGAAGGGAGCGCCATGTATAATTAAGTGAAGTTCGATTTTGATTATACACTGCGCTACCTTCGAAGATGATCTCTTCCAACCCAACCCTCTGAATCTCAGATCATCGCAGTTGCGGCAGAGCTTTAGACTACATAGAAAGTGAGGTTATAAGTTTTGGCTTTGGACTATGGTGCACAAATAGCTCATAAATGAGTACTACGTTTATTTATCATCTTTAAAGGGAGTGCAGTGTATAATCAAGATCGAACTTTACTTAAGGTAAAATCGAATATTATATTTTTATTTACTAATTACCATTTAGCCTTAATGTAAAAAATTCGAGTTTTTAGACGTGTACTGTGAATTATTGTTTCTTTTATCAAAGTTTTTTTTATAAGTAAGCGAACAGTAGCCTCAATTTCCGATTTTCAATAATTAATGACCGAGTTTTCATGACGTGTGGCGTTAATAATCTTTAAAAGACGGTACAACGAGCAGATCTCATCTTTCGCTCGACGCTTTGACTATTTCGGTATCCAATAATTGTCCAATAATGCCAGAAATCTGATGTTCTCCCTACTTTGCCCACCCCTGTATAATGTACTACTGACTTTTAGGAAATAGCAGTTACCTCTTATCTAACCTGGATTGTTTATTCGATAGAAAGGTGTAAAGTTCAAAAAAAAAACTTTCGAAAAAACGTCTGTCCAAAAAAATAATACTTACGTAATACTGTATTTCCATTATGGATTCCATCTACACCCATTTTGATATCTCTAACGCTAAAATCCATTTTCATTTGCTGAACTGTCAGGTAAGTTCTTCCATTTATTTCTTTTGGAGCTCCTCTAAGGTAAGCCTTAATTTTAACTCCCTCTTAAAAAAAGAAATTAAATACAATAAGTATTGTTTATCATTCATTTGGCCGCTAAAAATTATAATATTTTAGACACCTTTAAGTGTCATTTGCGCAATTGACATGCTACAGTGGGTATAACATTTATGTCTTGGAAAATGGAGAATGACATCCCAATAGACCGTCAGATAGTGATTGATTTAGGTGCCCCATTTTCGCATATAAGCCTCGAAGAGGGTTGAAAAGTACATCGATTTTGAGTAGAATGAAAGGAAATTTACGAATGGTCCCTGGGGATAACATATGGAAAATTCGATTTTCCTTAACAGAAATAAAAGGTGTTTTTTGCTTATTTTTCCACGCAAGCCGTTTTCACTATATGATTAATTAATAGAACTAGGCTTCGGAAAACCAAAGGCTTTAATGTTGCAAGTGGCTAAAGTGTTGAAATGAGGGCGTAATCTTGTAAAGAAAAATCGATATTTTAACTGATTTTTCCACACAAGCCCGTCGAAAGTATGAATACATACATCGTCACTAGCCCGAAAAACATATTGGCTTGAATGGCGCGAATTGATAAGTGCATTTTGGAGTAGGAAAAATTACCGCAAATTTGTTTTGATTTTTGAGTTATTTTTTCATGCAAGCCTTTTTAACCACAGAATGTTATTAATGTGTTAGACGTAATAATAAAATTGGCATGAGCATCGGATGTGGATGAAACGAAGGCTTGAGTCGGAAAGTTGCAGGAAAATTGTATGGAAAATGCCACCATTTTCCCACGCTAGCCGTTTGACATATGCTCAGAAAAAGTGATTCTAAGACTATATAACAAAAGGCTTGAGTGTCGGACATGGTCATCATATTAATTATATATAATTTATTTAACAAAAACTTGACAAAAAAAGTTTATAAATTTCCACCATTTTCCCACACAAGCCTTTTGACATATGCTTAGAGAAAGTGATTCTAAGACTATATATAAAAAGGCTTGAGTGTTGGACATGGTCTTCATATTATTTATACAAAATTTATTTAAAAAAATGCTGTCAAGAAAATCTATAAATATCCACCATTTTCTCACATAAGCCGTTTGGCATATGCTTTAATCATTTATAATTCGCCATATAAAAAAAATAAAACTAAAACCTAAATATCAAAACCTAAATAATCTAAATATCGATTCTCAAAGTTATTTTATATTAATTTTATTATAAGAGTTGTCTCGTGGCCGGACTATTCAACGACTAATTTTATACCTTTTAAATGTTTATTAACTTAAAAAACAAATCTAAATATTTCAAAAACCTTATTTTTAGTTTTTTTTTTACTCCATCTAATCAATAAATAATAGTAAAATTAATTATAATTCGAAAATTGTTGTTGAAGTCTTACTTTCTCATAAGACACTGTACAAACACACATTTTTAAAAAAAAAATCTCAAAAATTTGCACGGTAAGGTATAGTTAAAAGTTCACTATTAGATAAATAAGGACATCTACTATTAGAAAAAAATTAATTTTAGTCATAATCTAATATTTTTTATTTAACATTGGTGGCGAAAGGACCTCCCATAGCCCTCAGAAAGTCTAGATACCGCTTGGCGTATACTGTCAATACAAAAAAATGACCCCATTCAAGCTTGTCGCCATGTTAGGTAAATTTATGTTTAGGCTACACTGATTTTTAGTTTGTGTGTTCTGTAATACGTGAACACCGATAATCTGCACTTTGTTATTAGTTATAAGTGAGTGAGACGCACAATTTCTAATTTCAAATTAAGAACAAAACTTTGACAAACCTATTTGATTTTCCTAGATCTGTTCAGACAGGACCGGTTTTATAAAATTTCTCGTTCTTGAAATGTTTTTACATGGTTATATATTATTGGATAAGTGGTTTGTGTACATATTGCTATGAGAATTATAGAGAAATTCAGTGAGATTTATGTAATATAATTCAAATTACAAGTAAACCATCTGTTATTGTTTGGCAATATGGAGAAAATACCTACTTCAATGTCAAATGTACTATTTAAAAGAATGTGATTGTTAAGCGGTCATTTATTTATATTATGGAAATAAAAACTCGAATTTTTTAACTAGGGAAAGATATACTTACATCGGTAATAAGGTATTTTTAGAAAAACTAATAGATTACTCCTATTCCTATAGTTTATTTGTAAATGAATAATAGCAAAATTATATAAAAATATGGACCTTTGCCATAAAAACTGTGCTACCAAGCATTTTCAAATAAACTATAATGATAATTTGATTTAATAGAGAAAGTAACTACTTCTGATTAAACTATAGGAATAATGTTTGTTAATCTGTCAAGTAAACCTACGTGTAACTTTACTCAGAGGTTAAAAGATCGACCCTTAACAGGTATTTTAATGTTTATATTTAATAGCCCTTTAAAAGAATATATAAATTTTTCTATAAAATAAACATATTGTTAATTCAGCACTAAATTCATATTAAAATTTACTATACGAATAATCACCGAACAATAAATAATAATAACTTTGCATAAATATTTATTTGTAAACTTTTTGGTCAGTTCTTTTTTAGATAAATAATAATAATATGCTCCATGTCCAATACTCAAGCCTTTTGTTATATCGTTTAAGAATTACTTTTTCTAAGCATATGACAAACGGCTTGCGTGAGAAAATGGTGGAAATTTCTAGATTTTCTTGTCAGCTTTTTGTTGAATAAATTATAAAGATATAAATAATATGATGGCCATGTCCGACACTCAAGCCTTTTGTTATATAGTCTTAGAATCACCTTTTCTAAGCATATGTCAAACGGCTTGTGTGGGAAAATTGTGGCAATTTGCATATATTTTTCCAACAACTTTCTTATGTTCTGAAAATATGAAGACCACGCTCTGCACTCAAGCCATTATTTTTTTCTGGTCTCTTAAATTCATAAGTTTTTATTGCAAAAAATTTCGTTGATTAGAAAATAAGTGAAAAATCGAAAAAAAATTCTGTTAAATTTTCCAACCTAAAAATGGACTTATCCACTCGCGCCACTCAAGCCAATATGTTTTTCGGTCTAGTTACGATGTATGTTTTCATACTCTCGATTGGCTTGTGTGGAAAAATCGGTTAAAATATCGATTTTTCTTTACAAGATTACGCCCTTATTTCAACCCTTTAGCCACTTGCAACATTAAAGCCTTTGGTTTTTCGAAGCCTAGTTCTATTAATTAATCATATAGTGAAAATGGCTTGCGTACAAAAATGACCAAAAAATACCTTTTATTTCTGTTAAGGAAAATCGAATTTTCCATAAGTTATCCCCAGGGGCCGCTCGTAAATTTGCTTTCATTCTACTCAAAATCGATGTACTTTTCAACCCTCTTCGAGGCTTGTATGCGAAAATGGGGCACCTAAATCAGTCACTATCTGACGGTCTACAAGAGAAGAAATTTATAAGCCTTTCAAATAACTGTTTCGCACAATTGCTAAGTGACATCCTAGTTCAAGTAGAGTCAAAAATCTCTGAATATCTTATTGCAGGCTTTAAAGCAACTGGTATATATCCAGTGTCAAGAGATTGAGTTATTTCTACTCTTCCAGACTATATGAAATCTGCTGGTTTAACTAATGTGGAAAGTGCCATTGGAGTATAATTTGAGCAATATTTAGAAAATATTCGCATCTCTGATCTCTCTGCCCCTCAAAGGAATAGGAAATATCAAGTTGAAGAAGTTGAAGGATTTTATAAAAATAAGGAAGCCGTTAAACAAATTGGAAAAGGTAAACGAAAGAAAGAGACACCTTCAGACATGTTGGTTATATTGTAACGAAATACCTCCATAAATTTGGTACATACTGTACATATATGGTCCGATGCAAGAAAAGTCATTTAGTGGTAAGATATATTTTCTCACTTTCACAGACGATTTTACGAGAAAAACATTTGATTATTTTTTACTAAACAAGTCTGAAGTATTTGAAAAATTTAAGGAGTTTTAAATTTATTTTGAAACACAGACTTCTTGTAGAATACTAGCGTTAAGGACTGATAATGGAAATGAATGAATATTTAAAAAGTAATGGATTAAGACATCAAACAACTGTAGAATACACCCCACAGCAGAATGGAGTTGCGGAACGAGTAAATAGAACTCTGTTTGAAAAAGTCCGTCCAATGATCTATGATGCAAATTTATCATTGGATTATTGGGCAGAAGCCCTTAATACTGCATGCTTCTTGAAAAAGAGAAGTCCTACAATTGCAGTACCAAATAAAACACCTGAAGAGGCTTGGAGTGGTATAAAGCCTAATTTAGATCACCTGAAAATATTTGGATGCACAGCATTTACACATGTACCCAAAGAAAAGAGAGAAAAATGGGACGTAAAATCCAGAGAATTATTATTTGTTGGATACTGTGAAGATTCCAAGGGATACAGACTCTTAGATAAAAAACAAAAGCAATTACTTAGGTACACTAAATTGCACCTACAAATAAAATACAGCTACAAGAAATAAAATTGCACCTACAAATGAAATATAGCTACAAGAAATTGATGCTATTACTGAAACAAGTACAAATACAGAAAATGAAGAAACAGACAGAGTATTAGAGTCAATATAAGATGAAGATATGAAAATATGAGAAAGCGAAATGAACAATACAGATACGTTAGATCAAACATATGCACAAGAAAATGATCAAGAAGTTCTTGAAGACATAAACACAGAAGAAGAAAAGCGATATCCTCCAAGAGAGCATTATATGCCAAAAAACTAAAAGATTATGTTTTGCATGCAGCTCTAATAGTAGAAAGTCAAGGAGATCCAAAATGTGTTAAAGAAGCGCTCTCTAGAGGAGATGCTGCAAACTGGAAGTGAGCAATGGAAGAAGAATACTTATCGCTAATGAAAATAATAATACTTGGGAATTAGTGGATTTGACTAAAAATCGTAATGCTATCTCATGTATATGGGTTCTTCGTAAGAAAAAGGACGGAGAAGAACTTTAGGTCGTTACAAG